TTTCTATTTCTCTCTCTCACACACACACACACACACACACATATATATATAATATATATATTATATAATATATATATATAGTATCATGGTGAATAAATGGTATATCGACTTATTAGAACTTCCCAGTTTATAACATTGAACTTATACATTATTACAATTTTCTCAAAAACGGCTCTAAAGATTTTCATGGAATATGTTGTATCAATGTACAATTTAATTGGTTTTGTTGTTAACTAAGTCATATCCTCCTTACCTTAAATACCGTGTTTTCTGTTTTAGTTTCTTCCGAGGAAACTTTAGTTTTTTTTTATTGGATATAGTTAACGGTTTTTCATAGTCAGCATTAATAACCTTTTATTGTTAGCATCAATTAAGAAATGCTAAATAGTTTACTAAAGGAGAAATATTTTCCGATGTTGAAAACGAATTCATGGAACAAGACTTGTAATATAGAGGTATTATATACTGTTGGAAAGCTAAACATTTAAAAAAAAAATACTATCTAACATTAAAATCATAAAAAAAATTAAGAGTGACGAAAAATGTAATGGTTAACAATTACTTCATTTAATAATGCCTATCTACTTTTATTGAATGTAAAATTAATGTTTCATGGAAACTAAACGGAATTTCAAATAGTAACCAAATGGAATTGTTAACAACTTATTTTTACCTTGACACACCTAAAATAAATAGTGTTCAGGATTATTGTATTTTATAATAAATATCCTTGGTTTATATTTATATTTTAAAAAATACGGAAAGTTTTTATCAATTTATTTTTTGCTCAACGTAGAGTGGTAATTGAAAAATGTGTAATGCCCGTAGTGCACCAGATTTTTATGTTACAGGTGATATCTTTTGTGTTGCATTGAGAAATCTTGATATATTTGTTTTGCCTATAAAGGATTGTTTGTATTGCAGTATCAAAACAAAAAATCATGATTTAAAATTGACGTATGGAAGATTCTTGCCCGATATATAACTTTCATGTTTTGCCCTTTTCAAATACGTTCTTAAGCCTTTGAATCACAAATAATACAATTTAAATTCTTAATTTATTCTCGGTTATTCAATACTCGTTAAATAGAGAGGAACGGGATTTTGAAGCATATTTGGAAGCCTTATTTTTATTTTAAACCTTTGTTTAAAATATGGAATGTTTTCTAGATCTATGCAAATCAGAAGTGATTATAAAATGGTGCAACGAATTTACGTTGGTTATAAAAACATCACAAAATACCGAAATAATATAAATAGTGGATAAGTAAAGCAGAGTATTTAGAAATATATGGATATAATGGCTAATTTTAAGGCAAGTTTATATGCAAGAACCTTTTATGCCTAACTCATCAATTGAAAGTTGTAATATATTATTTTTTTTCTGCATTTTAATGTATAAAAAGTCGAGAGAAATCAGGAAAAAATATTTTCCGAACATTGGAAAAAATCACAATATTTATTTACTCTAAGTTTTTTTTTTTATTCTAATTTAATTTTGAACAGAAAATTAACATTTAATTTTATTAAGCTATCTTTTAAATTGAAATTTTTCTTAAATCTTTGAAAGGAATTTAGGATTTTTTTTTTTAAATACTTTTCATCTCTCCTCCAAAAAAGTACCAGTACACTATATAGTTTCTGATAAAAGTGTTGATTGAGTGTAAGCATTTCAGCACTGGTATCGAGTGTTTTCAGAACTATCCAGTTTACTGTCGTAGATGAGGGCGTACTTATGTAAGTTTAATTTAGTGCCCATATCCGAGGACTACAAGTCATGGATCTTGGGACGACAGAGTAAAACGCTGTCAGCCGGCAGTTGCTGATGTCGATAGGGGCAGGTTAACAAAGACGTATTCACGAATGATCGTAATTTTCTTCGAGAGTTCTATAAATCATTGTAAAGTCTCTCTAGCTTCGGATTAGAATTAACTCCGTACATTAGCATTAGACATGGCAAAAATTGGATTTAGTTTTTGAAAAGGGTGAATGTATTGTTTCTTTACTAACGTTATTACAGTAGATTTGGAACACAGAAAAAATATGGACTCTTACCATGCAAAGAAACTGATGGAACAGTATTTCTGAGATTTCTTGATTTTGGCAGTTTTCGAATGATATTAAAATAAGATCTCTCTACGTTTTATTTAAGCCAAAATTTATGAATGCCATCTTTTGAAGAAACTTTTTTTTTCTGCCACAAAAAGATTAAAGTTATGGCAACGTGCCAGCAATATCGCTGTTTAAACCTATATTGCTACTTACAGTGCAAGATTTTTTTTTTTTTTTACATTTTGCGTCGCTTTACCGGATATTTTACTTTTGTTTTAAAAACACCTCAAACATTTTTATTTCTTACAACCAAATTCAGTTCAATGTGAATGTGGCTTTAGATAGTAATTCATTTGTTTGATGCTCTAATTTCTTTTTCTTGTGGAGAAAATTTCTGGTGAAATTAAGTTAACGCTTGTTGATAAATCAAGTATACTAAATATAATTGTGGAGCTAAAATGCCCATTGGTAAAACGCATCGTAAGTTTTGTAAATTAAATTTCTTTTTACTTTCCTACCTATACTAGGTAAGGAGAGTATTGCAATCGGGTCAAATTTCCGATATGCAGTTTTCGACGGTTCTATACCTTTCAGAACCCCTTGAGTCCGAAAAACACATTTTTAGCCATTGGTCTGTCTGTCTGAGCCAACATTTTCTGGGGAACTAGAGAACCGATTTTGTTGCTTATTTTTTTTTATTTTTTAGGGTTTTGACTACTGATGTCTGTGACACCAATCGGGTGCTCCGTGCGCAATAAATGGAAAACACGTTTTTCATGTAGACTGAAGCGCGAAAACGACTCTGACGATTTTTATGAAACTTTCCTACAATTTTTTAATAATTGTCCTTTCAATTTTTGCACATTTACTAAATTCCCGAGAAAATTCTGGAAAAAAAGTTGTGAAGAAAAGAAAAATGTTTTGGGACCTAACTCGCTAATTATATATATATATATGGCAAAATTTATAATATAACTTTTGACAGGTAATTAAATTCCCCCCCCCAAAAAAAAAATCATCGGAATCGAACCGGTATTAGCCATGATACAACTTATTCTATTTTCTACACATGTTTTAATTTATTGCGATCCGGTCAAATTTCCGATATCCAGTTTTCGACGGAACTATATAAAAATCGTTCATTTCGGACAACTATTAACGAAGTTACAGCTATGCAATTTCCAATGTAACATTACGGGTTCATATCCTGGTGTCAGAAAGGGGTGAATGAGAGAAAAAACGATAACTAAGTGAAAGTAAGAAAATCTGTTGCAGGCATTACATAAGTATTACATCTATTTCCTATACATATGTAAGATATAAAAACTTTTCTGAAATAGGTAGGAAAGTCGTGTGAGTGGACCCACCAAATTTTGTTTTTTTGTACAGAAGATTGTCAATTAGATGTAAAAGAGAGATTTATAAAGGACATCATGTGATGATGAAGAAGTAACAATTTGTGTTGAAAAACTTTAGTTTCATCCAAAAAAAATACTAAAAATCTATATCACTTATAGTAGATATACCTTTATGGTAAGTAGAAGTAATGCATTAAATATTCCTAAGACTAGAAAATACTTTACCACACAAATTTTTTTATAAAATTTCAGTTTCATCTTTAAACCATCAAATCACCTGCATATTACCTGATAGCAGAAATTTAAAGTTTAAAATAAAGTTTTTTAAGTGATGAAGGGTTTTTTATAGTCTCAAGAATTTTAATAACACATCATTGGTGACAAAATGTGGATTTGGATATACAACTTCATGAATAGTTGGATTGTGAATTGGTAAAATCAAGTACTCATGGATTACATCTACTAAAAAGAATTTGATTATTAATTTTTGTTGAAAGCAGATGAGCTCTGTAATTAGTTGTGAAACAAGTTAGTACATGAGCCTAATTATTTAAAATTGGCCCCTTTTACAATAGAATCAGAATATAAATTTAAAAAAGTAGAGAATTAAAAAAAAGTTCAATATTTTTCAATTTCAGGAAGAAGAAAAAACAAGATATCATTTACTTTTTTATTTTCTTAAATTTCGTAAATGTTGAGAACAGTGAGGGAAGGTATATATATGGTATATATATGGGAAGGTATAGAATATATGCATATAATTAATCTTAATTAACTATTTTATAGAACTGCTAATGTTTCATCTTAAATAATTGTATTTGATTGATTTGGGAGGCATGACACGAAACGTTGTTTTTAAAAAAAAATATTATCTTTTAAATTTTATAAATTTGCTTTGAAAATTTCCTCCAGAAGCCTGATTTGAGATTGGAGGAGATAAGAAAACAGGTTAAAAATATAATAAGTCTTAAAGCATCACAAAATATGTTATATTCATTTGTTGCTGTAAAAAAAAAAAAAAAAAGATTCCCACTCTAATGACAACTGTTCTTTTTCATTAAGAAAGCGGGAATAACCAAAATTAGAAAATTGTAATTGATTATTTTCTAACTTGTTTTAATATACTTTTATAGTTGGAACTGTAAATTGTTATGACACGTGAATAAATTACAGTAAATAATTATTTTTTTTGTATAAATATTTGCCAAATTATAGCTGAATACCTAAATGTTTTATTATGTTTATTAAAGCATATAAATAAAATCAAAGTCATTACTTCAAAAACATTCTATTCCAGCAAATTATTATGGTGAACAATACTTTTTTTTTTTTTTGTAATTTATCTTAACCTGTAATGTATTATTTCTTTTTCATCTGAGACATCCAGAATGATACTTACACTAAACTCCAAAATAAAAATTAGAGAATTATCTACTTATTTTCAAGAAATTTATTTAAATTGGCTATGAAATTTCACCTTTTTGCCTATGGAGAAGAGATAAGAAATTGCTGAAGTGAATTATGTGTTTCAAATTATGTTTATCTGTCAAACTATGAATAAATTATAATTGTCATTTTTTTTCTTTCTAGAAATATTTGATACCTACAGAAAAAAGTGGCGATATAACTGTTCATGTTCAGGTAATGCTATTGATATTTGGTTTATATCTTACTAATCTTAGAAGTAAAACTTATTTATTAGAACATGTGAATTTTATAAAAAAAAAATGTTGATTTTTAAATGGAAACTAACCTCAAAATATATTATGCTGAATTAATTAATGGAAAGTACAACTTAGATAAATTACTCAGTTTCAAAATTAGTTGTTAAAATTAAAATTCGAATCATAATTCAAAATATATATTTAAAAGATTAATTTTTCTTAAAACAATGTTGTAATGTAACGATTTATTGGACAGGTTTGATAAAATTATTAACTAATTTTCTCCTTAAATCTCGTGTTTAAATAATTACAATGATTTTTTATTGTTTTTTGTTAACAAATTTATTCAGAGTGCATTGTTCTTATCTCTCCATCTTGATAAAAAACAAAACAAATCAATTCCCTTAGAAAATCATGAAAGTTACACAAAACCATTAATTTTGTTTTAATTGATAGCATTTAAACTATTATTTGTTTATTATTTTTTCAAATACATCCAATTTTCATATTTATTCCTGTCTTTTACAATAAGTAAATTATATGAAATTTTTTAATAAATTATGGATATTACAAAAATATTATAGATTCAAATATTACGTTATATACATATTATACATATATGATAAATTGAAATGCTAAATGTGGATATGATATATTTTAATGTTTTTTTTATTATTAATTTTACCTTTAATAATTCACATTTGACTAATTTGATGTATTCCAACATTTTCAACCCTATCAATTAAAATGATAAAGTTGATGATTGCAAATAATGATTTCATGATCAATTAGACAATAAATAATTAACTTAATTAAATTTATTTACTTACCTAATTTCTTTATGTACTCATTTACAAATTTATTTTAATGCTATTTAATTTTCAGGGAGATATTTCTCAGCAGGATAAAAGAGCAACATTTCTTACAGTTCATGACTTAGGCTGCAATCGTAAGTAATTTGTTTTTCTTAAAATACACAAAATAATGTTAAAATAATTTTTTTTTCATATCAGTATTGTTTACATATCCGTCAACTCTAGTATACTTGATCTTTTATCAATTCGGTCTTACATTTTCTTTCTATGCAGTTTATGTTTGCATATCTGGCACTCTATTATCAAGAAATCTTTTTTAATTTCCATTACAATAACCATAAATTAAATTAATATTAGCATATTCTTAAGATAAAATAAACATTTTCATAATTTTTAATGCGAATGTAAGACCGAAGTGACAGGAGATGAATGAAACTAGGCATACAGTAAATTAGAAATTAAAATGTAAGCATAATGAGGCCATCAAAAGATGTATGAAGACAAGGCTGATAAAAATATAAACATGAACAGACTTATAGAAAATGTCTTACATTTTCGACTTTGAAATTGATCAGGTTTCAATGTTTTTATTCCAGTTTGGCACTATTTGTGGACATATGATTATTAAACTCTAAATGGCATGAACAGTACACCATTAAAGTATGGACCTTCAGTTGTAGGACACCTGGTAAATGATATAAGATATAAACAAGGCAGACTAGTTCTGGCTTAAAATGAATGGTTAAAATTTCATACTCTCAAAATTGGTACCGGAAATATTTTCGACTCTGTATTGGTTAATTTTATACATAGTCTTATCAATATTTTTAATGCTCAGCTATATCCACCTCAGTTTAATTCTTCCATTCACAGATTTTGATTGAATCACACAGCTTTTTGAAGCAGACTAATAGAACTTGTTATGATTTGCATTAATTTTCTTGTATCATCCTCCCTCTTTATCCTACTTAATGATTTCCTACATTTTCATTGTGGAGAGTTTTCAGTTTTAGGATGTATTATATCTTTGTACAAACATCCACCTTTATTTATTATTACTGAGAATTTTTCTAACTCTTAAATTTTTCTAATTGATTCTAGTAACTTTGTACTGAAAGATTCTCCCATGTTATATTATTATGTTATGTTATTTTATTCTAACAATTCCAGTGGTAAGGTATCTCTCCCTGGGACATTTCTATTGATAGCTATTTGAGAGCTCCTCCTTAGTCTAAGAGCTCCTCAGTATGCATCTTTCAGATAGTCTGATAAAGTTTTTTTAGTTTTCAACAAGAGTTGGTTGCTCTGCTTTACCCTGATTTCTAATATCAGTGTAGAATTCGCACATATTTTTGACTTTCCATCAAACTTCTATAAAATAAAGTCTCTATTTCAGCATTTTTTTTTCTTATGGTTTAACTTACTTATTTTATAATGGCTGCATTAGTCTAGAATTATTTTTTCAGTACATCTAGAAATAGAACTTTTTCTTTAACTGCTATTAGACCGATTTTTATCTATTTCTTCTTCTTCTTTCATGGCACTACAACTATGGCAGAGTCAGGGTCTCCCACCCAGGGTCTGCCAGTCATCTCTGTTGGTTATAGATGCTCTTCAGTTGAGACTGGTGATTCTCAACTGGAGAGAATCCCCAGGATGGATCTCACATTGGCTGATAAACCATCCTTCCATTGCAACCAGGATATTCCCACTCTTCTGGTTGCATAGATTTTTTCATCCAATATTTTATGAGTTATCTGGTGAGAAGATCTGGTGTCATCCAATATGGCCAACCCACCGGAGGTGAACAACCTTAATAAATCTTATAATACGGTTATTATACAGTTCCCCTAATTCTAGGTTGGTCCATATTCTCCACACACCATTTCTATTTATGAGACCAAATATTTTTCATAAACTTCTTTGAAATCTAAGGAGAAGATATTATTGTGATCTCATTAGCATCCAATATTATGCGCCATAAGTTAACACGGGTCGGATCAAATAAACCAAATTTTATATCTTTGGTTTTCCAAATTCCTGCAATCTGTTTATTAATAATTTATAGCTTGTGCACCTAAGGTTTTCTTTACTTTTTATTTTATTTTATCAATTTTATTTATTGTTTCAACGTTCAGGCCAGTAATATTCTATTATTTTGTACATTATTGTTATTCTGAAGGGACTTAGTCCCAGAATAAAGTTTTTTTTCTATCTATCTATCTATCTAATATTCATTTTAACCCATTCTCTATTTTTCTGATCTACAGTAGGAGCTTTCAGGAATTGGAGGTCCAACTTATCTCAAATCTGATTTGATTTTAAGGCTATATAGAATATGCAGATTTCATACTTTTTAATTCTACTGGGATCCCAAAATTCTGGATTACTTTCAGCCTTTGGCTAAATTTGATCCTGAATAGGAGGGTGTGGACCACATGACAGTTTGTTACTTAGAGGTCCCTCATATCTTGCATTGAGCTGTGAACAGGTGTTTTTTTTAATCGGAAAGTGATAAATTATACACATCAATCTTAAAAAAAAAGCTATAGAAAACCATTTTTAAAACTTAAACTTTTTAAAGAGATTTAATACAAAATAAAATAAAGACACCTCAACAAATGGTCAAACAATAAAGAAAAGCTACAATCAAGCATAGGTTTCTATTAAGTTGTCCATGGGTTCTTTGAATTCATTCCGTCAGAAAATAGATTAATGTCACAATCAAAATAATTATTTGTATAAGCTAAAAGAAAATAAAGAACTTAACTTAATATATAACACTGGTAAAGATAATTTATAATGCTTTAATTAATATTTTAAAAGCTATTAATATGATTTGTTATATTTTCATTCATTACATTGTTATGATTCATTACATAATATTTTCAGATTATGCCATAGAGGATTTCATAAATAAGCCATGCATGAATGAAATAAAAGATAGATCAATTTTCATACACATTGATGCTCCTGGGCATGAAGATAATGCGGAAGCATTGCCTGAATCGTAAGTTAAAATTATATTAAGAAAACAACATGTTTATTTAAGTTAAATTTTCCATGAATATCTGTATTCCTGCTGGTAAGTGATTTACTCTGAATTGACACTTTTTGTTTTTGGATGCTCCAAATTTAACCAAAATTAAGGTATTGTATTGTATTTTAAATAAGTATTATTTAGTAATATTGGTACTAGTGCTGGTATTGGTGGAAGAAAATAGTCCTGCAAGGGAACCTTGTTGTCCTTTTTGCCAATCCTGGCAGTTTCTTAAAGGCTGCTGCTCCATAATTACCAGAAAGGGAGTGATGCTAATAATATTTGATACCGAAATCCCAATAATACTGTACAAGTGTTATTCAACCAATTAAGACCTATGTTTCGACTTGAAACAAAAAAAGAAATTAGTTCACAAATATATGAGCTTATAATCGTATCAATCATTGATTTAGAAAATATTTCTAAGTTGGAAAATAAATTTGTAGACAGGCAATAATAAAATAAATTTTATCAGCTTGTATTTATTGGTTATTCAAATGTAAATGAATTAATCTCTATCAAACAGTTTGTGGAGCTACTAATGCTTTAAATTTAATCCCTCATCCTCCTGAATAAAATATAATGTCCTAACTATTTTTCAACAACAGTGCTAAAGTGGTATAATGACAGTAATTATTATTCTCAATTTGTTTCCTCAAAAAAGTTTAAATTTCTCTCCAAACATTTGGAGTATAATGAATCATCAAAAGTATAATGAATATAGAAAGCAAAGCACCTTTTATTATATATTTATATGAAATAAATTATCTAAGCTTTTAATTTTGTTGTTGCTTTTGTTTTACTTAACTTACTTAAAGTTACCTGTTTTTATTTACTAAAAACATTAGAAATAAACATTTTCAATTGAAAACCATTTTTTCTTATTTCATTATCTATTTAAAAAGAAAAGGTTAAAAGAAAGCATTGAGTCTAAGTGAACAAAGTATAAAACATTCAAACAGTTTAATAAAGTGAATATATCAATAATAATTATACAAAACCTAATTATATTACAAGTTATGTTACAAGCATTTATAGTTATGAAATTCCTGTTAATATATATATAATTACTCACATGTCTTTTAAAAATGTTCACTTACTTTGATAAATATCTCTATACATAAATATGTTTTGTTTGATTATGCTTCATGACTGACTAAGCCATGTATGCTAGAACATACCTTAAAATTAATTTAAATATATACATGTATATATTTAAATATATATATATATATATATATATATATATATATATATATATATTATAATATATATATATATATGTATGTATATATAAACACAGGGTGTTTCAGAGTTAAGTGGCCAAACTGCAAAAATGAACTAAGGAGCTCAAAACAAAAAACATATTTCCTCTGAAGGTATGTCCGCAAACGCTTTGTTTATGTTGTTATGAATTATTTACGTTATATAAAGGACATTTGACTTCAATTAGATGGTCGTCCTGCATATTACGGAAGAGGTTCACGACAATGGCTAAATGTTAATTATACCAATCAATGAATTGACCATGCAGGACCAGTGGCTTGGCCTGCATGCATTCCAGACCTGACACCACTGATTTTTTTTGTTTGGGGTAACATTAAACAAAAAGTCTGTTTAAGTTCGGTCAATGACCATAATTCCTTACGAAGAAGGATAATTGAATCTTGAGAAACATAACACATATCCAGTGTCGTTCTATCACTGCTGCTGTAGAAGAAAGATGACAAACCTGTCTTAATGCTCATGGAAATTAATTTGAACAACATTTAATATGAATTTAATGTTTACATTTAATTAATAAAGTAGTTGGAACAAATAAATAAGTTTTATTTACTTAATAAAAAGTAAATAATTCATAAAAATGAAAATCTTTAGGTGTGAATATCTCCTAAACAAAGTGTTTGCGGACATGCCTTCATAGGAATTTTTTTCTTGTTTTGGGTCCTTAATTCATATTTTCAGTGGCTACTTAACCCTGAAAGATCCTTCATTTACATATATATATATATATAATACTAAAAGGTGGATTGGAAAAGATTTGTAATATTATATATAAAAATGTTTTTATGGTTGGCTTTACAGACCTTTTAGATCTAAAACATAATTTTGGATTGTTTCAGAAAATTCCCTACTCTTCAAACACTTGGTGAGGACCTTGTTACAGTTTTGGACTTTCTGCATGTTAAATATGTCGTAGGTTTAGGAGAAGGAGCAGGTGCTAATGTCATAGCTAGGTTTGGAATAGCAAATCCTAGCAGAACATTGGGGCTTATATTAATTAACTGCACAGGTTCTTCTACATCAGTAAAAGAAAATTTTAGAGCTAAGGTATGAAAAAAAATAATATATCTGCATACTAACTGCATAAAAATGATTTTTTTTTTCTTCAATTCATTTATTGATGTAATACTTTAATATAATTTTATGAAAAATTATTAGCAATTATAAAGAGGAACTTTACTGAGCCTATATTTATGGATTTTCAGCTGTTACTCGCTTCATTTTAATTATATTGTTAAAATAAGCAAAAAAAATCAATATATATATATATATATATATATATATATATATATATATTTAATGTTAAAAATAACTGATTGACAGAAGTTCTATAAATTATTTCTAAAAATAGACTAAAATCTTTCTCTGCCTCTATCAATATATATATATATATATATATATATATATATATATATATATATATATATATATATATATATATATATATATATATATATATATGATGCTGATAGGAGCCATTTTCTTTTTGCAGAAAGTGAATAAGATGCACTGCAGCATTTGTTGATTTTCAGGCCCTTTCCCAAGCACTGAATTGCAGTGTTTCTTGAATGTGATAGTCAAGTCAGCAGTTACTTGTAATTAGGACTATCTCAGGTTGGTTTTGGGACCCGTTTACAATGTGATGTATCGTATCGGTAGCCAATCTTAAATACGAAGTTGATAGTTTCTATATTTATTTTCGTTTTTGTTTGATATAGTGACTAGGTCTACAACGACCCAACGGGGTAAGAGGATAAAGTGGATCTTCTAGTAGGCAGCAAGGAGGATTGGCTCATATCAGGATCCTTATTCCCCATGCCTTTCTTCTACGATTCCTGGCGGGTGTGCCATAAAACGCAAACCTAAAACTTTATTCTTTGTGCTTACCTTCATTCGTTTCTTTCCACCCCCTGTCACATTTTTTTTTTAAAAATTCTTCTTCTTCCAAAAAAGCGGTCCTCGACTGGCCCAATAGCCTGTTCTCAATCATTTAATGACAGCTAGTTTAATGGAGACTTGAATGTTCATCTGATCATTATTCAGCCTTCGTCTGGATTTAACTCGGTTAGGTTTTCATAATTTAATCCCAACTTATTCATTCTCATAACATGTTACGTTCGGACAAAGTGATAATTGGATTGATTATTTATTGAAAAGGCTCTTCAACCATGAAATTCATTTGCGTCCTGAATCATTATTTTATTTTTCTTCCTTATTTTATTACAATGTCTGATATCTTATTTCTGCTTCTTGTATAATGCTCATAGATCCAGTGGTTAGTTTTCTTACTTCTTTTATTACTTACACTTACAGCTGCAAGTACTATTTAACTAGACCATATTACTTTTGATTTATCTTTATTTAGATTCTGAAAAATACAAATTACTGCCTTTATCTAGACTATTTCTTGCCGGCTGGCGGAAGCTCTCTGACAATTCATGAGGTTGATATCCAACCATGGCCGTCATGTTGGTTCTCGGCCCTCTCTCCTAGATCCTTCTCAAATCGACTAATATCCTAATACCTCATGTTTAAATAAAGAAAGAAAAATGACTGGTCAAGTAGAAATTAATTTCAAATCAACCCAGTATTACTTAATTTGATCCACTAAAAATTGATATTAGAAGTGGAACTCAAGCCCATGTATTGAGTAAATGTCCAAATAACGTACTACTTGTCACCCGCCGACAGGGGTGCTCATTTCCCCAAGGAACCTTTAAATCTTTCCCCTCCCCTACCAAGATATTTTATTCCTCTCTTTTCCTTAAAAATTGAAAAAGTGCAAACGAAAGTAGAATTTAAATAACCCCGTCAAAAAGTGCCCCCCTCCTAAATTTTGATAGCTCAACTTGCGCCATGAAACCCCCTTCTGAGCACCCCTTCCCGCCGGCAAAATATTATAAAGTATAGAATGTACAAACTCCTAGAGATGAAAAATTATAGATGCTTAATCGAAGTTTATTGCATGGATACGGAAGGTTCAGCAAGATTCATTGACATCTTGGCCTTTAATACAAAAGAAAAGGAGGCTATTATAGTCGACCCTACAATTAGATATGAGATGAACGATGAGCAGCAAGATTTCAAGATACAAATTGAGAAGGAGAAAATATATGAAAAATACATTCCGTACCTGAAAGAGAAATATGGAGAGGAATCTGGAGAGAGAAATTTTTCTGTACGAGGACTTTTGTTTGGAAGTAGAGGAGCAATTCTTCTTTCAATTCCTATTTTTTTTGAAACGCTGAGAGTTGAAAGAAATGAGATACAGAGTATGGTGGAGTCCATTATTTAGGAATAACTTGGAATCCTGCACCAACACCTCTATTAAGTCAGGCCACTGCTTTATGGATCCAGGAGGCATATTGAGAAGAATGAGGATGAGAAAAGGAAAGAAACAACAAAGGACATTTTTATATACAAAGTGTATCAAGATGAATTGTTAAATATTATCACATCAGATAGATTAGTATGCTGTGTCAGATAGCAACACAACACAGTTGAGCAGCATTACAATTTTATTGTAATTCTCTGATCGTCGATCCTAAAAATCTAAATTCCTCTAGGTGTTAAACTTTATTTCCTTCAATATCTATCAGTATCGCTAAAATCTTCCTCATTTCTGCTGTCAACCAAACATTTTGTTTTAGCCGTATTTATTTCGAGACCCCAGTGTCTTCATTACATTTAAAAAATCAACTCAACCAAAACACAATCCATATTCAAACAATCTCGTGATTCCTATACCTGGTAAGTTGTGATGAACGAAGGAATCCGAGGGGCGCAGTATTAGTAAAACACCATAGGAAATCATATTTATACACGCCATTCCCTAAAAAAAATGATTTCGTTGTGAAATTGTGAAAAATGAATTTTTCGTTAAAGTTGTGCACAATCTTTCAGTAAGTTAAAATTAATACTTTCTTATTTACCTATCTTTACTACGTATAGAGCTAGAAGAAACGGATAAAACTGATTTCGAAAACATCATGAATATGTTTGTTTTCACGAAGGCCAGGAAGTTACAGTTTTAACTGTAATGCTTTTTCGGCTACGACCCACCTCTACGATCCGCCCTCGAGGGTAAAACGACAGTGGCCCCGCAACCTTTTGTAAATATGCATAAATTGGAGTTCTGGCAATGGCCAGATTCTCCATTCATGTCCTGAGTGTCTGCTGCTGTAGTGCTCTCTACCAGCCTCTGCTAACTTCCAATACAAGTGACGCTGTGGAGAAACATGGCTTGGGGAGAAACACCGAAGTACTCCTTTGCTTTCTATATTTGGAGGACAAAGCTTGACACAGAGACCCCTGGGCGATTAATTCACGTTAGTGCAAATGTGTTTTATACATAGGGGTCGGGTTAGCCGTACGGGCTAAGGCGCTAATAACATCTAGTTATAAAATAATGCTTAGAATTTGATGATCTATTTCCACTTTATTTATTAAAATTTAATCAGGACACCAACATTTGAAATCGTAGAAAGAATTACACGGCAGCTCTTAGCTTAGCTCCGAGTAAAATGATAACGCTAAAAAATATAATGCAATAGTTTTGAAAATATTAAGTAATAATCATTATTACTAAATTAAAACTTATTTACATCAATTTGCAATAAACCTTAATTAAATACGAATGATTAAATTCTTCAATAATGAAAATGAATTTATTGATGTTTCTAAAATTGATTGTCCTTTTATTTCGTACCTACATCAATCAAATTAGTAAAATTAAACTAAAATCAAATCTTCCATAGATTTACAAACACTCAGCTTATTGAACTTCATTGACAAATATTTCACTGTTTCCATCTCACTTATTCCAATTTATTGATTCATTACTCAGTAGTAAACTATAAGTAAAATAAACCATAGATAAAATTAATATTTATGTCATTTACAGAATTATGGTATGATATAAGTACGTGACATTATTTATCTATTATAAATTCAAAGGAACTTTTTATTTTCATATATCGTTCTGACTAAAATCCGTTTCTTAGTCAAGTCCCATAGACTCGGCGCCCAAGGGCGACCCCCTGGGTATCCCTAGGTCGCCCCGCCCATGCTGCGGCCTTGCTGTTATGTTTGACCTATGGTAGATTGAAAGGATTTATTTTCTTATATTTGTTCTTAAACCTTTCTGACTACATTTACTTCCTTAGTCAACTCTTATTTAAATTGGGTTGTCTTTTAAGTCCCACACATAGAACGACCTTGTGTCCACCGTGAAGGGTGGTGTAGTTCTATATAGGGTACATTTATATCTTTAAAAGTATCTAAAAGCTACCTAAAATCAATAAGGCAACATAATTCTTTTTTAAACTAAATAAAATATCTCTAATATGTAATTCAACTACCGAAATTTCAATTATACTATAAGGAATTGTAACCTAGTCCTCACACTTTTAGATTTCTTACCGCAATCCATAACTTCGGTATCCAGAAGACAAGTCTCACATCATCTATGTTATTTTAGTGCGACCAATTTTTAAGAGAGTCTATTTCTTCTCTCTCATTTACATTGCTGTTGGGTGTTGATGGTCATTATACCACTTTTAACTTTTGTGATCTCCCATTCAACTACTTGGCCACGTATCCCAAACTTTTATTTTTAAAATATGAGGCAGTCGTTTGTTATAAATTTATCAAACTTCTTTTAACTATGTCGCTCCTTGCCACATGGGCAATTATATTAGTATTTCTATAAGGTTACTATTAAAAAATTTCAATTCTTAAATATACATTATTTTTAAACTAAAGAATTTATTTATTTGTTTTTATTGTAGCCTCTACCCTGCAGGGTCATTGGCAACACTTCCTATTTATAGTCTATTGTAGAATTTTAATATTTTTAAAAATTGTAAGTTTTTTTCCACGGCGTTTTCGTTGTCACTGAGGTTTGCTTTTAGACTTTGAGCCATATCGAGATTTTTCCTTATATTCTTTAATACTGGGCAGTCTTGGATGATGTGTTGGCAGTTCTTTGCACCTTACAGCTTTCGCAAGTCGGTAAGTCTAGTCCTCTTAGTAAGTAGGCATGTGAAAATTCACAAGGCCCAATTCTTAAGCGGCAGAGGACTGTCTCTTCTTTTCTGGAGTGTCGGTTACTAGTTTTCTATTTGGAACAGTGGCTTTTTATTCCTTTTGAATTGGTTTCTTTTTGTTGCCATACGTTCTGCCACATTACCCGCAATTTTTTTTATATGATGTATAAAATCTTCTATCGGGATTTCGTTAATTATAGCTAGAAATTCGGTTGGATTTCTATCTAGCCTTCTCGCCATATTTGCTGCTTTGTCTGCCTGTTCATTTCCGACAATTCCGCAGTGTGAAGGGGCCCACATGAATATTATTTCCTTTCCCTTTTCTGTTAGTTTCCACCAGATATTTTTAATAGATTTCGCCAGTTTGGTTGTCGGTTTTCTCTTTTCGATGGCCACAATTGCACTCTTTGAGTCCGTTACCACGACCCATTTGTTACTCTCCGTTGAATCAATGTAAGTCAAAGCTTCTCTAATAGCGATTATCTCTCCACTTAACACAGAGCAGATCTCCGGAAATTTGAAATACTTTTCTATTTGAGAGTTGACAATAGCACATCCTACTTTGTTACTTACTACTTTTGAAGCGTCAGTATAAATGACATTACATTTTTTATGTTTTTCCATTATTTCCAGAAATAGGCTTTGTGCTTCGATAGGAAGTAGCGTATCTTTTCGACAGCCATCCATCGAGTTCTCTATAGGAGGTAACCATCGAGGTATGGATCCAAGGAGTGATAATAATGTCCGGCACATCCAAAACAGATTCTAATTTTGATTCGGAGACATTTTCGGGAAATGTTTCTACGAAATTTTTTCCCCAGCTGTTGTCTAATTCCTCCCGGAATAGTATTTTATTTAATGTATGTTTTGGGCGTGTCTTAATTTTGAGACCATACTTTAGTGTTAGATACAACCTTCTCAGATAGAGAGGAGGTTCATCTGCTTCAACATATAGGCATTCAACATATTAAAAGAATTTAATATTATCATTATTATGGAATCAAGACAGTTCGATTAGATTGAGGGAATTTATTACTGTATTGTTATTTTGTTTTATTGATTCACAAAGAAAATACAATTAATTAAATTATGTTTTTTTCTGAGATCAACCATACCTAATAATTGGGTTAGGCATTATCCGAATAATAGTGTAATATGTGAACGGTTTATCCGTTATTCGAATAAATTTTAATTATTCGTTATATTTTTATACGTTATTCGCGATGAATAGTCTTTTATGCATTTCAAATACCTAATTAAATAAATGAGAAATTGTTGAAAAAGTTAGAGTATTATATGAATAATTGTTTTGCCTGAATTCTTAGTTTGAAAAAATTAAAAACAATTTTGATTGTATTCGACGAATGAAACGATAGTCTGTGTACAATTGGAAAAATATAAATATATTACAAATGTAGGATAATTTTTTAATTCTGGTGACATTTTTCCAATATTTTCTATTCGCCATTTGAATATATTTTATAATTATCTTAGTTATAGTATGATATATAAATTTACACTTTATTTCCGGTTAACGCTTATCTTTATATCGTCAGTTGACACATTGAATGAAAGATAATTTTATCCAAGATTCGTAATATATTGTCTAAGATGAATTTCCCATCTCTGCTAAGTGCCATAACAATTTTAGAAAAAAAATATTTTTTTGTTTGTGTAGTTCGTCAATTGGAAAGGAAAGGAAGGAAGCGTCAGCCAATCGGCTTCAGATTATTTGGTGTTTCACAAATTTGGACATGTAAGTAGACCCGCCCACTCTTTCATATATTTGTACATATAGTTAATTTTTTAAAAATAAAATTTTGTTTTATATACATCAAAATGTTTTGTTAGTTAATGCAAATGATTTTTTAAAATAATAATGTCAGGAAAAAAATTAATAATTTTAAACTATTTCATTTATTTCTTCTCGATATATTATACAACATTTAATAGCCAAAGACACACCCAAAAGAAAAGGACTGAAGAATGACAAGTGTCTAATATAAACATTAAAAAAAAACATCTGATTTGATGATGAGCTATTTAGACCGAAACATTGTCTAATGAATTGTAAAACAATAAATGAAAGGAGTTTAAAAGGGTTTATTAATTATTTTTAGTTTACAAAAGGTTTATAATAATTTTTTCCAAGCATTATAACAAAACAATATATTGATATATGTTCCTTTATACCCTTTACATATTAAGTTATGCTGTTTTTTTAAGGGAAAACTTAGGCGCGCTTTGCTGTTTTTTTGTGGGTAGTGAATGAGACTGAGTCGTCACACTCATTCGGGTAAAGTCGGCTGGAATCGATTAATTGAAGTGTTTTTGCTTTTGGATTAAAATAACACAGAAACTAAAAATCGGACCTACTTACTATAGGCACGAGTGATTTTTAGCATTTCATCCTCTTTGTAATGAGCTATATATCAAATTGTATCTTAACGCGACGCCGTATTAGAGAGTTGTAAAGAGAAAAATTTATCAAAAAACAAAACGACTGTTTTGAACATTTCAGCTAAAATATCTCAATATTTAAATACCACGGAGAATTTAGAAACCAATTTGCGGAAGTCAGTACCGATCTTTTTTTTAATTAGACATAAATATAAGAAATTATGGGTTTCTATTCGATTTTCTGTTGCACTCGATAGAGTTTCGACAAGGTTATAACTGAAAATTTTGGGCAAAATGAGATTATTGGTGCTTATGACCAGGAGTGAACAGAAGGGTTTTTCGTGGCGCAAGTTGCTCCAAAATATTGTTTGAGACCGGCAAATTTTGACGGGTTATGGATTTCCAGACTAAGGGATAAGGGGAAAACATGGAACATACTGCAGAACACAAATGTAATTAGTATTTGATCTACGATTTTTCTAATTCTAACTTAGCTTACTCTGTTTTTAGTTTAATATGTTTTTAATTTAATTTAAGATGTTTTTAAGCTCTGTTTTCAAATCAGCAATAAAATATCTTGGGAGGAGGGGGGGGGAGGAGATTCTTGTGCCATCGACCTTGGGGGGATGGGCATCCCTGCTTATGACTTAATTTTTGTCCACTGCACACGAATAACTAACTATTTCAGTGATGGGATGAGAAATGGCCAAACTACTAATTTGACAAGGTTCTAACTACCTGGAATTTTTTACTTCGTTTGGATTGACAAGGTTGTATCTGCAATTGGTAATCTGTGTCGTTTTTAATGATAATAAGGAAGGGTTTTCGTTTAAAAGGTATGGGCAAGTTCTTATAGTTTTCCCATTTATGTTGAGGCGCTAATTAGTAATTTTAACGTTGAGGATGAGGCTAAAAAATTTTAACTCGCTCAATTCAAAAAGGACAAAAACAGCAACAATTGGTCGAACAAAAAAAAAAAAAATTCAGAACCGTAGATCATTTAATTGAGTGCAGAATGAATATTATAAGTTATATTCCATGATTATAACAATTAATACCTGCTTTTCAAGTAATAAGCAAAAAATAAATTTAAAAAAATACATGTCAATTTTTTTCATTTTTTTAATACTTTACCAAGGAAAAAAACACAGGTTGCAGTGTAGATATTCGTAGTCGGTAGCCTAAAAATATATTTACCAGCAAATTTTTTAAATGTCTTCAAAATTCTCCACTGATATCCCTTTATGTTCTTCATTGGCCTAATGAGCGGATGCCCCATACGAAAAATAAATTTATGTTACAAAAGTCTAAATAATTTAATCTTATTTAAGTTAGCATAAATTGAAGTAGATAAAAAAATGCAATGTATATAACAAAATCATATTTTAGAATGTTTTCTCCCCGTAATTTGGTGAGACAAATTTGATATTAGTAAAGAGTATGGGGTGCTCTTAACATAAATAAATAAATTTTCTAAACTTCCTAGGTAAAATTACCTCAACTGAATTAATGTTGCATTGAACAGAAAGAGCAATTGAAGTTTCTCTGAGATGATACTGCTTTTAGTATTGTTATTTTTATTATATTTTGTTTTGTACCATCAAAAGTATATGATTTAATAAAGCAATATTGAAGGAGTATTTCAGTTCCAGCAAATCAAATAAAAATTATAAATATAAATGATAAAAAAAGATCTGTTTCGATGAACGCTTCGGAATTCAGCAGTCTTATTATTTTATCAAATCAGTATTTGAAAAAAATATTAATTTATTATTTATTTATTCCAGAATAAAGTTATTTTTCTATATATATATTTTAAATGTTACTATTTTGTGAATATAAAACAAAAACTAGTTTATGCACAACTATAATTGTATATATTGTAAATTTTATTACTTTGTGAATATTGAACAAAAAAAAACTTATATTTCGTATTATTCATCTTGTCTTGATGTTTTTACATCTATTGTGTGGTCTAAGTACACTCCTTAGATTTTTTATTTATTTATTTTTTACACAAAGTTCATTTAACTTAGTTTTAAGAAATTCGAATCACAATATATGTTTACTAATAATATATTTTTTGTAATTTTTTCTTCAGCAATTAATGAAAGAAATCAATGAAGACAAAGAAAAGGTCGTTGATGATTTTCTACATAAACTGAGAGGATCAATAAACTTACAGAATGTAAAACATTATGTTAATGCATTTTTGAAGTAAGTTTTTTTGTTATTTTTCTGTTGATCATACCATCTCTTATCTGGAATTTAGTGTTATACAGAATATCCCAGGCAAATTTACTGCGGCAAAACGGTGTTATGATAAAAAAAAAAAATCGATATTTATCTTTCATCCCTATGCAACGCTGGTGAATTGCCAATGCTAACAAATAAGATGATAGTAGCATAATTTAATTTAATTTAAATTTCTAAACAGAAAAGTCAATATAATATGAATATGTAGAGACTTACATTAAAAATAAATAATTCATAATTTTTTGATCATGTAGCAAGTCATTTTCTGGGTTATCAGTAGTTGAAATTTTCACTTGTTTCACACTTCCTTGCAAAATAAATTAAAGTGGTTTTTTTCCAAACCAATTAGATTTCTTTGCTGAACTATATATATATATATATATATATATATATATATATATATATATATATATATATTTAGAATCTACATCTTTTTTTAAATACCATCAGTACAATTGAGATTTTAAGATTAATATTTTTTACTGTGTTGCTAAACATTTGTTGTTTTCTAAAGCATCTCATTTGCTTAAATGATTTAATTATTTTTATTTTAAAATATATTAGTTTTATGTAAATCAGGGGTTGGAATGAAATTTTAACTTTTATTATGAATCAATTTCGGTGTGAATAGATCTTCATTACCAATATTTCCAATATAGTCTATTATTTCCAAATCAGAACTTTTTCTCTTATTACTTTTGAAGTAAGAGTTTTACCAAACTTTTATTCAAACAAATAATTATATTTAATATAAATTCATTTTGCAAAAAATCCAATTTAAACAAAGGGCCTATTTGCCGGATATTCTCAGTGATTCAAAAAGTGAGAGATAAGAATCAGAATAAATTATAGCGAATTTATAAGATGATTGGTATTTTCAATCTTAGCCCAGTTACTGTTTTTCTTCTAATTTATTGTTGTTTTTTTTCACTATCATAAATAAAGAAAAGTTAAACTTTTACCATCAAGCACTTTATTAAAAAAATTCCCTTAGATTTTTTATGTAATAAACTTTTTTTCATAAAACGTTTCAAAGAATCTGTTAATATCAAACTTCATAAAAACATTCCATAAAAGTTTCAACCCTTGATTTATATGAGATTAGATGAATTATCCATATGTTTATTTTACAAATCAGCTAAAATGTACTTAGGAAATCACCTGTGTATTTATTAAGTACAAGATTTTCTATTTTCCTTCATTATCACCATTGTGAGCCTTATGTTAATTAGTTTCATTCAATATTATTAAAAATAGGGGATAGATAATTGTCAGGACTGGCTAAAATAGATAAAATAAAAGAGATGTTATATCCATTAGGTAGTTAACTTTTTTTATAATTTTATATTTAAATTAGGTTTTTTAATAATAATTTATAATATACTTAAAGGTGTCGTTATTGGTGTGGACAGTTATCAAACATTGGTTCTTTACTCAGAAACTGTATTTTTTTAAAATTAACTGTAACGCGTTTAGCATTTCTTTTTCATGAATAACATTTTACTCCACAAATGTTAATTTTCATAATATAAAACACTAGTATAAATTCATCACTCATTATAGTTTCATTATCCAGTAGAAAAATGCTAAATAACTTGTATAAAAGTCCAACGGAAAGCTTAAAACTGTATACATTTTGTTTTATATATATATATATATATATATATATATATATATATATATATGATTTAATTATTTTTAAATTATTATTCATTTATAACTTCATATATTTTTTAAAGAAAATTACGAATAATCTGTAAATTGACAAATTGTTAATTGAAATCCTGTTAATAAATGTGTTAATTGAAATCCTTACTGCCACAACTACTATTATTATTCTGGTATAGAACCCAAATTTTGATCGAAAGTCTTGTTTGGAACAATTAAAGCAGGGATTAATGGCTGAAATAATTTGATTTATTATTTTTTAAATTTAGATATGACGTTTCTTTGTCATTAAAACTATAATTTTGTATAAAATAATACACTTTTTTTTTTTATAGCCGAACCGACCTGCCATTGAAAAATTATAAAGGAGATGTCCTATTGATAACTGGTTCGAAGGGTTCGTATGCAAATGTTGTAGAAAAACTCTACAAAGAGTTGGATAAAAAACAAACAACTTTACTCAGAATAGAAAATGCAGGAGATGTATTATCTGACATGGTAATTATGAATTGTCTTAATAAATAAATGATTATTTATTTAACTAGATTATAAGTCTAACTATTTACATTTAGTTCATTTAAAAATCATGATTTATTAAAATAAAAATTAAGCTAAATACATTGATGGATTTAACAACATATATGTTTACCTATACTGGTCCAAGGGGGGTTGATCGACCATTTTGTAAGTTGATTTCTCTAAGTTTCTAGAAATAAATAAAAGTCAGGGAATTTTTTTTTTCCTTTGACCTTTTATAAATGGAAGCCATTATTAATCGTTTTTTTTTTGGGCTAATTTCAGTTAATGTAAGCATTTGCGGTTTCATTGATAGTTTAAAAGCTATATAAATTAGGCTAAAAATACTCCCTTTTTGGTGAAACATCTGTTTAACACAATGGCAATGTTTTGAGCAAAAAGTACTCCAAGCGCATTTAATTTACTCATAATATGATTAAAATGGACCTAAAGTTTAATGATGAAATAAAAAAAAAACTGTTTTCAATAAAAAGGAGCGCAATAAAAAACTTTATTATAAAAAACTTTATTATAAAAACTTTATTAGCTATTTTAACAACTAGCTCTTTATGCTATGTGTTTACACTTCCTAATAACCAGGTCAACTGGAATGAATTTCATTCTTACTAAATGTATTATTAGTTTTTTTTCACTTTATTTATTTTTTTGACTCCTTAAAATTTAAAATATATTATTTTTTTTCAAAATATAAGCTTTAATTTCTCCACTAGATTAGGAGTTAAACCTAAAACCCTTGAAAATTATAGTGTTTTGGGAGGAGGCTTACGATAAATGAAAATCTTATTTGTTTATTTGCTTGGTTAATGTATGGTGACCATTCAAAAAGTGGGGAAAAATGCAGTAAGAAATAAACTAAGTTTAATTAGTTACATAAAATTATATTATTATTATTATTGGGATCTGAGAAAATTATTTATTTATTAAAAAACATAAATAAAACACCTGTCCAGGTCAGGTATTTTTGGGGATTTTTCCATGAAAAATAGTTTAAAAGAATAAAATATTTTCAATGACATGAAAATAAAATATTTTTATTGATTTAAAAAGAAAATCTAACTGAAGTTAGTGAGCAATAAGAGGCCTGAAATTCGTTCAGTTGAACTTTTTTGGAATATATCAGTATTTTATTTAGCTTATTTAGAAGATGTGGTAATATACAAGGTGCAAGCTATACACAAGTGAAATTCACAGTATTTATCAATTTGCATTTGCTTTACACCAGTTATACAATTTATATTGATGTATTGCAATTACTACCGCTATGGACTATTATAGTCTGCGGTGTATTGCATATATAAATATTCCAAAGGTTACTAACAAATTTTAAACTCAGCTTATGATTATTCTCATTTGTACAAACCTTCTTGTACCTCTACAACCCATAACGGGTCTTGGGTTCAGTAGTTTGTAAGGGAATACTGTTTCAAGGCCAATGGTTTTGCAGGAAGGTGATTGGGCCAGTATTACGCTCAATAATCAGAGTTTTCTCATTCAATTAAGAGTGCTCATATTATAGAGGCTGGATTTATCCCAGGAGGGTCTTCTCACGGACCCCAGGGTCAGTGCATGGCTGATGAAAAATTACTTGCCATCAGCCGTGTTCAAACCTGAAACCTAGAGCTAAGAAAGTAAGTGCTTACCCACTGAACTACCTCGCTCCCTTCTTAACCCCACACTGCACAGTGGTACCTGTGGTAAATAAAGATTATGATGATGGTAATAATCTATATACCTTCTTGTAATTAACTAATATCTGTTTTCACTCTTCATAACTAACTTGTTAACAAAATACATTGTTATTTGTTTCGATAGCCCGGAAAGGTAGCACAGAGCATTCTTCTATTCTGCAAAGGGCAAGGTATCCTCACATCAGTAACATTACCAGGAATCGAGAGGCAAAGAACCTTCTCAGGATGCACCTTTGATGGAGAAAACAGGAGAAAGTTCTTCAGAGGAATGAGCATGGAGGAGTATGATAAACCAAATATCCGAAGGTTTTCCCTCTCACCATCCCTATCTACAGAATCAAAATAAATTAAAACATAAAAATGTTGAAAGATGTAAAGAACTTGGTATTTATTACAGTAGTGACGTTTGCTATGTAATGCTCACCACATCAAAATATTTAATATTCATGACTGAATATTTTTTAATCAGTTTATTTTTGATAACTATTTTGTAAGATAACTTTTGTTATACATACCTATTTGCAACTATACTAGACTAAATGTCAAAAATATATTAATAAAAAAGACTCCCCTTATTATTTTTCCGTTTTTTAATAAGAAAAAAAAATATAAAATGAAATAAAAGTCTTCCAACTGTATTTTAAACAGTTTTTTTTTGGAAAGACATAATAACTTTCCTATCAATTTTCTACAATGTACAATTATTTAAATTTCATTTTTGTTCAATGAATTTCTTAATGAGTTCATAATATGTTTAATATTTTTCGCTAGTATGATAAATAATAAGATATTGTATCATTCTTTTTTTCTATATTATTTAAGTAGTTATAATCATTGTGCTATTATTGGAATGTATAAATAAATTATTTAGTAATCTTATGTTGGATAATTTAGTGTTTATTCCCATATAATCTCCAAACCATTGATTTATTATAAATTCTCGACTTGCTGAAGGTACACTAAAAAACTATATACATATTTTCATATGTATATACAGCGTTTTGTATGTTTGACATTTTGTAGTAATGGATTATGTCTGCATTGTCTTGTGATAATTTGTGAGAAGTAGAAGTTTAATTTTTCTATAATTAAAAGCAAGCACCCAAATAGTTTCCAGACATTGATTTTATATTGCCTACCTATAACATACTAATGCATAATTTATATCCACTAATATATATATATTATATATATATATATATATATATATATATATATATATAATATATATATATATATATATCCTGTTCTACTTTAGTGTGTCTGCAAATAAATATCTTTTTGCCAAATGCTTTTGATTTGATAGAACTTGCTTATTTTTAGATCGGCCCATGTGTATTTTAGTTTTTTTTTTTTTTGTATCGCCTAGTATTTTGAAACAAAATGACGGTCAAAATCTAATCTATTTTCAATTCCATAACTTCAAATTGACTTTTATGAATCTAAAACTCGATTTTTTATCATTGAGAAATGTCGCCAATAAACAAGGAATTTTTAATGTGAATATTGAGATTTCCTTAGCACTTCGTATAATTGTTTTAAGTTTATTTACATTTCTTATTGAAGAATTTACGTTTACTTAGGAATTGAACGACATAGTTTGAATTGATGTATTTATCTCTAGAAATGGGAAGATTAAGACATTGGTTTATTTTGAAGCTGATTCAAGTATATTCAAGTATACCAAAGATTCTGTATCTGTTGTAAAATTTTTTCAAAGAAGTGGTGTTATAGGTTCATACATGTCAATTTTTCAGGTAAGGCATTGAAAATGGGAGAAGATTTTGACCCTAATTTTATGGAAAAATACTAGCAGGAACAAAACAAAATTAAAATGTTTTTATTTTATTTTTTGAGTGGTTTAAAAAAAAAAATGGAGCAAAACGGAAACACCGATCTTTAAGCGAGGGCTTAAGCCTTAAAACCACTATATTTATTTTTATATTTTTTTTTATCCTAAGAATCTAAAAGATCTCAATAAGAGCTACAACCTTATATGATATTTCTAATGGTTTTCAAGTTATTCCGTATGTTGTGTGTTTCGGATATGTTTCAAATATTGTGGCAATTTTAAAAAATTTCCGATGAGTTTTCAACGAAAATACATGTTTTAATGTTCTCCTGAGTTGAAATAACAAAGCTTCGCAAAAAGGTCCAAATGAGTTGACTGGGAGAACAGTGTAGCCCAAGATAGAAAAGTAGTACGAAACAAAATTTAAGGCATGTTATTTTTAGTAACATATGGAATGTGACAGCAAATTTTTCGTCAATATCGATTAAATGGAAATTGTACTTGCTGTAATAAATTTAACATATTTTTAATAATTGTGGATAATTGTTGATTATAGAAGAGATATTGAAGAGAAGGTGGTTGAGGTTTTCAGCCAATGAACGTAACATGTAAGAATACATTGTACAGTAAGAATAAATTGTATTTAATTTTATTTCTTAATAATGACCCATCAATGGCATAGATAACTCTCCAATCACACATCACAAACCTTGAAGAATGGTGTGAAAACTGAAGGATTAAAATAAATTCCAATAAATCCCGTTAAATCACCTTTATCCTTCCTCGTAAACCTATGACTTCCTGTTCAACAGTATCCTTTAATAATACCCACTTAGCCCTGTCGAAAAAATCCTATACCTTGGACACCACTTGGACAAACCAGTTATAACATATCAGACTGAAACGACAAGAAACCGCTCGAAGTTTCCGACTACTCCAGCATTTACTAGACAAACGCTCTAAGCTTTCAATTAATTACAAAAGACTCATATACATGACACAATTAGACCTATTTGGACTTACGGAGTTGAGATCTGGAGCTCCACAAAGCCATCGGATTCCTCACGTATCCAATCCTTATAATCCAAAATCCTTCGTAAAATCCTCAATGCTCCTTACTTTGTCACTAATAAAATCATACATAACGACCTTAATGTTCCTTATGTTTCCGATTTGACCCAATCCAGATACCTGTCCTTCCATAATAAACTTCGGAACCATCCGAACCCTCTCTTTTCTAACCTTGCTTCCTATTCAATTCCTGATAACTCTCCGAAGTGTCTGAAAAGAAGATAGCCTCGAGATATTCTATTGTAAATACATCTTTTTTTTTTTTTTTTTTAGTGGGTAGTTTCTCAACAAGTGTTTTCATGTTATTATTTTCTGTTATCACATTTACTTAATGTATTTTTTCTGAATATAGTTGTTAAATATCATAAAAAAAATTATTTCTTTTGTGCCGACGTTTTGGCCTGAGTTTCAGACCTTCATCAGGTCTAAGCAAGGACGAGATAATATATAGATATTGAGAAAATAGTAGAAAGTAATAGTAATAATCTGTATATATAGTGATGAATTAAACAAAGTGATGAAGTAAACAATAATGTAATAACGGTAACAACTTAATGAAATTAAAAAAAAAACAATGAAAAATGAAATAGAAAGAAACATTAAAAGATACAAATCGTAAGTCTTATAAGTAAAATAAATAGGATGATGTAGTTGTTATGAGTTGATGTCTTAATATAGTAATTAATTAATTATTAAGTGGATAAACATAGAATAATAATGAACAACATATACAAGTAAATAAAGTTAGATAAGGAAAATAATACAAGTAAATAGAAAATAATACGATGTAGTGAAATCTTTCGAAACATATCGTACACAGAAATGAAATGAAAAATTAAGTTGTATAGATTAAGAGAATAATATTCAATGAGTAAATGTAACGATATAAGCTAAATAGTTGTATAGATATTGAAAAGACTAAAGGAAGAAAGTGAGTGATGTGGACGATAAAATAAATAACAAATGATAAAGAAGGCACCTGTTATTTTTGTTACTTTATACATTTTAATTATTGTTTACTACATCACTTTTTATCACTTTGTTTACTTCATCACTTTGTCTACATATTATCACTATTTTCTCAATATTTAAATGTTATCTTGACTTTGCTTAGCTCTGATGAAGGGCTGAAACATTGTCAACAACTTCGACACAAAGGAAGTAAAAATAAATATAATTTATTTATTTTTACATGGCACTTTCATTGGCTGAAAACCGGAACCAAAATATCTTCAATATAACATATTTTTACACTCTTCTTGTATTATAGATTGGAGATTTTGTTTAAACGCTTCATATTGATGTAAAATTAAATGGCCTTGAATGTCATCTAGTTGTTAATCTCATTTAAATCAACTAACAGCGGTTAAATGCGGTTTTGCAATGGATCACACCAGATTTTTTAAATTATTGAAGTGATCACTAATAAAATAATAATTAAGAATACAGATAATGTAAATTATACATTGATATTTGGAAAAATAACAGTTGTATCCGCTTGCACATAGCCAGAAAGACACACAGGATTACTTTCTGCTGGACAATTTCGCAGAGTGCTTTACTCGCCCAACTGTAACAAAACATGCCAAACACGTTTTCTTCACTTATCGCAGTTCCACCGACAATGAATCCTTAGAATTAAAATATATGAGCCGTAGAATTCTGAAACCAGGTAACTCCACTTTAATTAACAGTTCCAGTACTGGATTATGATGAGATAAAAGTTATTTCAAGTCATAACTTTCTTTGAAAAATATTCTTCTTTGACCTAATCATAATGGTAATACCGACGCTGTTAATTAAAAAAAAATAGGTATAATGAATGAAAATATATTTGGCTGGTATTGAAATTTTTTTCTTATATAAATAATTCATTTGAATATAATTTAATCAGATTCATTGACTTATGTAATAAATTAAATTATAACGCTTTAACTAAAAAGTGAATGCTATTTTTACATTCAATTCTGTTTTCTATATTCTAAAGATTATTTAAATTAATTTATTTTTTATTTATAAATGATCCATTTATATATTATTTATAAATTTCATTTATATTCCTGATTTATTCAGAAATATATATATTATTAATTTCGTCATTAAATGATTATTATCGCAACAATATTGCAAATATGGAAATACTTTGATATAAAAAAATATTATATCGTGAGCTGCATAAATTGTCATTATATTTATTTCGTTATTTAAATGTTGTATTGGGAGTAGGCAATGCAGATTAGGCACTTGACTCCAAACTCCTGACCTCTCCAGGGATCCACCCAATCTCTATAATGTGGGTAACTAGTCCTTCATTTGGAAGTTCGGCTTGGATGCTGACCACATCATCTTAGCGTAACCGGTCGATCAAGAAACGACATGTTCTTTCCCTTTAACTTTTTAGTGGTACACCTCCAGGATTAAACTTTTATAAATTAATAATGACATAAGAAGTACATAAATTGTATTCATTATTCATTAAATTCTGTCTCTGCGAATCCTTCCTCACCTAGATTTTTCTTTTACACGTTGACTTAATAGACCTTGTATATCTTTCGCTAGCCATCACCAGCCTTCTCTAGCTTTGCCCATCTTGGTATATTACTTCCAAACTAGTCATCTGGTTTTTGGCCGTGGTCCGTCTCTAGTCTACTATTGAGGGATTCATTGTTGTGTAGCGACTTCTTGATGGGTTGCTCCGAGGTACGTGCCC